AGACTCGCAGGCCGACGAACCGCCAGCCCCGCCCCTGAAAGAGCAGGTCGTCATTCGAACCACGATGCCACAGCCATCGCAACAGAAACGACCTGGCCCAGGGGATCCTCATCACATCGAAGATGACGACTACGACCGTCCCCCTGGCCCAAGGCCACCTCCCCCTGTGCAAGCGGCGCAGCCGAGTCCAGTGCGAGCAAGCGGCCAGCCAAGCGTTAGTATCGAACAGGCCGCGAAGCCCAGCTTCCATATTACCGTGGGCGATCCCCATAAAGTTGGCGACCTAACGAGCTCCCATATCGTCTATTCAGTGCGAACGAGGGTATGGATGGCTTCTTCTTTACTTATTGATTACGTGCTGACCTCGGACGTTTAGACCACGTCCAAAGGCTACAAGCAACCTGAATTTGAAGTGAAGCGAAGGTACCGCGATTTTCTCTGGCTATATAACACAATGCACGGTAATAATCCCGGGGTCGTGGTGCCTCCACCCCCCGAAAAACAAGCTCTCAATCGCTTCGAGAGCAACTTTGTCGAGTCCCGCCGGGCAGCCTTGGAGAAGATGCTGAACAAGATTGCCGCGCACCCGACGCTACAGCACGACTCCGATTTAAAGCTTTTCCTAGAAAGTGAAGCATTCAATGTCGACGTCAAGCACAAAGAGAGAAAAGAGCCTATACCAAGCGAAAGCAAAGGTATGCTAGGTTCTTTTGGTATCAGTGTCGGAGGGGGTAGCAAGTTCGTCGAACAAGATGATGTAAGTGGATTGAAGAACGTTTTTGCCAACCGTTCTAACACAACGCAGTGGTTCCACGACCGTCGCGTCTATCTGGATGCTCTTGAAAACCAATTGAAGGCCTTGATGAAGTCTATGGACACAATGGTCAATCAGCGCAAGGCAATGGCAGAATCGGCAGCAGACTTTTCTGCTTCGCTACATGCTCTCTCCACCGTAGAACTGAGTCCGACGCTTTCCGGTCCTCTAGATGCTTTATCTGAGCTGCAGCTCACTATACGCGATGTGTATGACCGGCAAGCCCAGCAGGATGTGCTCACCTTTGGTATCACGATTGATGAGTATATTCGGTTAATTGGAAGTGTGAAACAGGCCTTCTCCCAACGTCAGAAGGCTTTCCATTCATGGCATAGTGCGGAGAATGAGTTGCAAAAGCGTAAGACTAGTCAAGAGAAACTGCTCAGACAGGGTCGATCCCAACAAGATCGCCTCAATCAAGTTGGTGCTGAGGTGGCCGACGCCGAACGCAAAGTACACCAGGCGCGATTACTCTTCGAGGATATGGGTAGGCTCATGCGAGCCGAGCTTGACCGTTTTGAGCGCGAAAAGGTTGAGGACTTCAAGTCCTCTGTTGAAACATTCTTAGAAAGTGCAGTTGAGGCACAGAAGGAGGTAGGGTCCCTTTTATTCTCTTTTCTTTTTCGTTGTCCTATAAAGCTAATTATGAGACAGCTTATCGAAAAATGGGAAACTTTCTTGATGCAACTTGATGCCGAGGACGACGAAACTGTTTTTTATCGCCCACCGGTCATACAAACTGCCGACAAAGTCGCGGGCCGTGGTGACACTGCCGTAGACCGAGCCAGGGCCACTATTGATGAGGATTCGGACTGAGCATAGATGTGTCATAGTCAAGCGTTCAACTGGCATCGTAATGGACTGGGGACGAATTGCAACGAGTTTGATGGAAGAAGGTGAAATTTATACAGGGTTGTACATATAGCTACATAGGTACTCATCACCTCTAATCAACAGACGAGCATCTCTAATCCCCGGCGACATTATCCACGGGACAAAATATGTCGGCGGATAGTACTTGACAAGAGTTGCTGGCCTCATGAGCCTCGCAATTCCATTCCCCACCCTCGCGATAGTCGTGCTAATTGCCTCGTTCCGCCTTAATGGAGCCAGCTATCAGGGTCATCGTGTCTTTACTTCTTCTTTCCGCGTAACGGCGATCCGCCTGGTGGTAGATCAGGCACACCAACGGCATAGCCAGCAATCAAATCAGCCAGAGCATCACCACTACCACCTCCGACATCCTTAGCACCAGCACCGGCGCCCTGCTCGGTGGCGGCGCCGCCGGCCTGTTCCGGCTTCGCGTCGTCAGCGGTCTCGACGGCCGAGTCCCAGCCGCGGCCAAAGCGCTCACGGAAGGCGGCCAGCTTGCCGGCCTCGTCGACCTCGACGTTCTGCAGACTCTTCTCGTTGGGGTTCCACAGCGCGTGGTTGCGGGTGTCCTTGGTGCTCTTGTACAAGCCCAGCGGCGACGCCGTGCGCATCGTGTACGTGCTGCCGTCTGATAGTTGCACCAGCTGCGTGAACGAATACGGCCGGCGCGGCCGACGGATGAGCGTCGCGGCGCGGCTGGGGGTGCGGGAGAGAGGCGTGTGTGAGGGCGTGTGTGTTTGTGTGTGGGTTAAGGGGGAGAAGGGGAGGGATGTCGTTGGGCGCCGGGAGAGGGCGCTTGGGAGTCTTGTTGCCATTTTCTTTTCTCTTTTTTGTTTTAAGTTGTCAGGCTGTTTCGTTGGGGGGAGCTCGTTTTACCGTTTTATCGTTCTAATCCGTAGTTCGGATCGAGTGGTTTCGATATGCTTTGTGGGCACGAATTTATACCGTAATTCGAAGGAAGGTTTCGGCGTCTTGTTTCTGTGCTTGGAGATATGTCCTCGAAGTCCAATGCACACTGCGCTCGTAGATCGTGAAACTTGTAGAAACGGATATGGACGTCGATACAGAACCCAGTCGCCAAATTTCTGGAAGACAGGCTTGGAGCTTGGAATTTTGGGTGATCGGTCTGCTGGCAGCCGCCCAAGACTCTATGTACGGGTACAGTGTACTTACAGTACCCAATTGCCAGGGTCCTTATCGCTACCCCTGAGCTTTGAGATAATGAAGCTGCCATCTTCCCGATCGCGGGGCTCCACCAAAAAGTCGCATTTCTGACGACATTGTGCGGTTGATTGATTCTCTTACACCAAGAGTGCAGTTTCTGGCTTCCACCTTTCGCTCTGCCATTCATGGACTGAGATGCAGAGTATCCGTGGCCTACGGCGGGCAATTCAGTCCACAAGACCACGTTATGCCTCACTTTATCGTCCAAGCCGGAGCATTGCGAGCTCCCTCATACGGCGCAATGTAGATCAGACGCTGCAAGCCTCTAACGTCGAGCGACCGGCTGCGATTCGGGCGCAACGAGGTTACACGTCCGAGACAAATGTCAAACCTACAGCACCTGCAGCCGAAGATGTCGTCGCAGGCTCGGGAGCAACCAAAGCCCGGCCCGATAATGCCACCAAGGGCAAAGATGACACCCAAAACATCCGAGACCTCTGCAGCTCCGTGACAGCCACCATGGCAAAGCTGCCACACCCGGCCGTCGTCATCACCACCCTCGACCGGACATACAGCGCCCAGGCAGCCGCTGGCGTGCCGACAGAGAAAATGCAGCATCCCATTGCCCGCGGGGTCACTGTCTCTTCTTTCACGTCGCTATGCATTCGACCGCGGCCCCACGTCATGTTCAACATGACCCTGCCCAGCACCATGTATGAAGCCCTCATCGCGTGCAAAGACTTCAACGTCCACGTCCTGACCCCAGATGAGAGCGGCGCGCGCATCGCCAATGTTTTCACTCGCGGCAATCGTATCTCCTCGCGCATCGGGAGCACGGAAGCTGCTGAATATGCCCTCGATGTCGATGCCGACCTGGGTGTTTTCGCAGGGCTGAAAGACGAGGGTTTGCATCATGTCGAAATCACGAATCGAAATGTGTGGCATGAGCAATTCCAAGATGCCAAAGAGAGAGGTCTCGATGCTTCCCGGCCTTCAAAAGACGCGGAGCCTGTAGCGCAAGACCCTGAAATTGCCGAGCCTATGAGTCAAGTTCATCATGTACCGTGTCTGCATTCTACAGCTATCACGGAAGTCCTGAATTGCCGTTTGGTGCGTACGATATATCCTGAGTTGCCGAACGCTGGACAGAACGTCGTCATGATAGGCGAGGTTGTCGGCGTAACATTCCCCAAGCAATTCAACGAGAAGTCTGATCGGACTCCTGTCGCCTTAAGCTATGCCGACCGAAGGTACCGGTCTGTTGGCGACGCCATTAACATGAAATGAGACGGGTGTTTCAGGTGATGAATCCCGGTCATATCAAGACGGCAACCTACGCCCCGACTATAATCATATAAATACTAGTATAATGCTAGAAGTTATGACGAGGAAAGCAAACACGGGGTCGAGCATATGCTAAAAAGAGTCAGGCAAACGGGCGCTAAAGAGCGAGTGGTGGGCCAGTCGCTTCTCGATCTAAGGGCAGATTGCCAATTGCAATATCTCGCATGTAAGGCTCGCTCATACGTCAATTGTTACTCAAAACATTTATCACCACATCAAAGAGGACTGCCATTCTGGAAAACGAAAGGTACAGATCTCTTTTAAGGCCAAACAGGCCGCAGGTTTTGCGTTCAATATCAAACGATTCATAGATGAAATTATAGCACAACGATTACTCGGGTACAAACTCATAAAGAGGTATATGTATAGATCACTGTATATAGAAAACGGTGTCTGCTACCTTCAAAAAGCGAGCAGCTTTCTCTTCATTGGTATCTAGAGTTTTCTGTGCTATACTGGTGTAAATGATTAGCAGTTCAATTATCAGGAGTTGTAAGTAACGCCCTGGCGTCCAATGCTAATATCCCCTAGTTACTATATAGTACCTAGTCAACTGCCCCTAAAAATATTTTCAAAATTGCGTTTTCCAAATAACTCATTAAATTAATAATAAGCTAAGCGGCTACGTAATGTAATTATTGTTTAATTGTAGAATAAGGATGTCTGGTAGTGACTGAATTAGTTGAATTTATTATAAGAGTATGTGGGTGCGGGTAGCATTGAATGCTGGAGTATAGGTTGCGTTAAATGGAATGTAACTCGTCGATTCAGGATGTCTGAGTCAGTCTGGCTAAATCACCTCCAAGGTGTTATAGTATAGTGGTTAGTACGATTCGTTGTGGCCTGAAGTGTTCAGCTCCGAATAGACCCAGGTTCGATTCCTGGTAACGCCAGCTTTTTGCTTTAGATGCCTTTTTTTATCTTCTCATTTTTTTAAGTGTTCCTTTTTTCAAAATTCCTAGTAAGTACTCTTTTAAATTTTTTAAGTTAGTTTTTGCTGTACTTACCTAGCTTTAAATCACTTTTTTTTTTCTTTTTTATTTTCCCCGCTTGCGCCTCCTTGAACACTGCCTGCCAAATGGAGCTGACCATATTTTCTACATGCTATGCTCATAATGAAAGTATTTGCAAAGTTTTATATAGCAAGTGTGTTTTCATTATTTGAAACCTTGCTATAAATACTTTATAGTTTCCGATTTATACATGCAATGTGTGTGCTTATACTTGAAATTCAAAAGTATCATTGTCGGATAGGTTTGCTGGATATAATAATAATAATCATAAGACATTTGAAGCCTCTTTGGTACTTACCAGAGGCACATCTGTGATGTTTCTGGATGATCTAGCTTCGCGCAGGGATAGTAGAAATTGGCACCGGTCTTCTTTTTATTATATCCACAATATTATCTTCCATTTGTGCCCATTTTTCCGGATTTTTTTATACCATGATGTTCTTTGACCTAATATCTCGTGTAAATACAATCGAACATTGAACTTCCGTCTGTCTGTGCTTATGATTTGCAAACTGTAGTTCTAAACTATGCTTCAGAAATGAAATGTTATAAGATGCAGAAGTATCCGCGATGGGGAAGAGTATGATAGTCAAAGGCTGTCTCAGCAAAGCTCTCCAGTCCTCATTTATCGAGCATGTGTCGACAAGCGCTGCGAACAATATATCGAGAATATATATATGTATCCATGAAGTCAGATGTTCGGCCTTGGGCTAATAGCCTTCCAGAAAGCAAAGGATTCTGATAGCATAACATTCAGAAAGTACGCCACTTCTCACTGTATTTTCCTAGACTCTAAAAGCGATATTACATTCTCACAGCTTTCACTCTTCGATACCTATAAGGTCTACGACGCCACTTGTTCTGCAGAATCCACAGCATTTCCTTTTAAGTTATGCCAATCCTTAAGAAAGTCTGAGGATTGAATGCGAATCATCCTAATTTGGAGTGAACCTCTCGCACAGGGTGGATGGTATCGTTAGCTCTATTCCCGATCATACGGCTACAAGTAACCTGCGGTTGAGTCCGAGCAGTACCCGAGTTACGGGAACTCAAAAGCCAAGCTAGCCTTGGATTGGTGGTCGTTGCATCCCCGATTGAGCCAGTTGTTCAGGGCCATTTCCCCTTTTGCCGTTGGATGATCAACTATGCTGACGTAGATGCGAAATTCGGACATCTCATTTTGGTGGCCTAGCCAGAAGGTGACGTCAAGCCCGCCATGTCGCGACGAACCACTTCGCATAAATTGGTGGTAGCCTAACGCATGTAGGTAAGAAAACATAGGAGGCACTTGTAGACTTGATGTATAATCGTGCTAGATTTGTATGGACACTACATCGCTGTACAACCTACCCTGTTAAAATGCGCCGAGGTCCTTCCTCCTTCCTCTGTTTCCATAATTGATTCTGTTGCGCATTGCGCCCCTCGGCCCCTAGCTAAGTCCTACTGTAATTATACTTTAATGTCAGTCTCTTTCCACTCGCCAGTCAGACGATTTTATAGTCGATCCTGCAACTAGATACAATACATAGATCTTCTTGTGTCTACTTGTCCTCATTTCTCCATTCCTCTATTTTATTTGCCGGCCTCACATCCTAGTCCGATTATTTGGCATGCGGCTGGCTCCCTTCTCTACCCCACATTAGCCCACATTAGCATCATCATCACGACCATCACGACCATCACAACCATCACAACCATCACGACCACTGCAATCATTCTCGTCATTATCTATTGTTAGCTTTGCATCTTCTACGTCATTCCCCGCGACATTCACGAGGGTCCTCTACATACAGTTCAGTCTGTTCTATTTGCCCCTGTCCCTACGGTTAGCTTGTTTAGCTAGGAACCGTTCCCGTCCCGTTGGCTGCTGGCGGGTCTCAGCAGTTAGCAGTCAGTCTGGGAGGGAAGGGTCCAGCAAGTTCGGGCGTCTTCAACACCAGCGCACCCTTACTCATGGTCAATTCTGCGATTCTACGACCCCGTCATTCCTGACCTACCGAGTTGTCACCGACGATAACGGCGATACTGCGCAACCCGCGCCGCGTCGGAGCTGCCACATAACCGGAACCATGTCGTCGACGCATATCGAGACCAACGGGGGCATCCACGATCATGTCCTGCGCCCTCGTCCGCGCAAACCCCAGCATTCGCAGGTGTCGGAGCTGGCCCGGCAGCGAAGCAGCAGTTCCATCGACGGCATGCTCGACGCTCCACATGAGCTGGCCTCCAATGTGACGAGGTACGTCCGCTCTCTGCCCTCGCTCTCTGCCCTCGCTCTCTCTGTACCAGCACATCCCCTCCCTCTCCCTTCTGACTCTCGCGCGCAGTGGCCGTTCGACTCCCGTTCCCGACAACGCACCGGCCTCGACCAAGGCCCTGTCCAGCGCGCGCAAGCAAGTCCGCGCCGAGCAGCGCCGCCGCCTGTTCCCGACCACCAACTTCGCCTCGCGCGTCTCCCACTTCGACCCCAACTCCGACTACCGCGACTTCCATGGCTTCTTCAATCTCTTCTGGATTGGCCTGGCCATTATGGGCATCACCACCATGTTGCGCAACTACAAAGACACCGGCTACCCCCTGCGCGTGCAGATCTGGGGCCTGTTCACCGTCAAGCCCTGGCATTTGGCAATTGCCGAGTTCTTCATGGTCGGGAGCACCGCTGTCAGCCTGCCTCTGCACCGCCTGTTCAGGAAGAGCCGGGGCGCGTGGACCTGGAACAAGGGCGGCATGGCTGTCCAGAGCATATACCAAGTCATATGGCTGGCGTTCTGGATCGCCGTGCCCTTCATCTTCAATTGGACATGGACCGCCCAGGTCTTCTTTGTGCTGCACAGCATGGTACTGCTCATGAAGATGCACTCGTATGCCTTCTACAACGGCCATCTCTCCGAGACCGAGAAGAGGCTACAAGCCCTCGACCAGCCAGCCGGCGCTTCCAAGGAGCCCGCCTACACGTACCCCACCGTCGAGAACCCCATGGGCACCCATAGACACAGCGACGTAGCGCTTGACGGTAGTGGCGACAGCGACAACGAGGGTCTGTCCCAGTTGCGCGAAGATCTCGCTCGTGAGCTAACGAGCCCCATCGGCAACGTCACCTATCCCCGTAATCTATCCTGGGGGAATTACCTTGATTATCTTCTGTGTCCCACGTTGTGCTACGAGCTGGAATATCCCCGCACCAAGTCCATCGACTGGACGAACCTTATCGCGAAGATTATAGCCACCTTCGGCTGTATCTTCCTCCTGACGGTCATCTCGGAAGAGTTCATCCTCCCTGTCCTGCAAGAGTCGGCAGCACGGCTCGGCAACACCACGTCCGCGACCGAAAAAACGCTGATCCTCTTGGAATCGATTTCGTGGCTACTCTTCCCATTCATGCTCACCTTGCTCCTCGTCTTCCTCGTGATATTCGAGTACGTTCTGGGCGCCTTTGCTGAGATCACGCGATTCGCGGACCGCCATTTCTACAGCGACTGGTGGAACTGCTCGGACTGGATGGAGTTTAGCCGTGAGTGGAACGTCCCTGTGTACTCATTCCTGCGACGCCACGTGTACGCGACCTCGAAACCTACCATCGGCCGCAGCAATGCCACTTTCGTCACTTTCCTCGTCTCCGCCATCGGCCATGAAATCGTCATGGCCTGCATCACCAAGAAGCTGCGCGGCTACGGCTTCATCTGTCAGATGCTGCAGCTTCCTATCGTGATGTTACAGCACACACGCTGGGTCCGCACCCACAAGACAGCCAACAATGTGCTCTTCTGGATCAGTATGATCTTGGGCCTAAGTCTGGTAAGTCCTTACAAAATAACCCATATATGTGTCAGGTTTTCTGGTTTCGCATTCAATGTTGCGTGACGTGTCAGTAGAGCTAACCTCAAAACAACAAACCATAGATATGCTCCCTTTACGTTCTAGTATAGATCGATAAGTGTTGTCCTCGAGACTTAAACACGGTAAATAGAAACGGATACCTTTCCATCTGAAAAGAAGAAGACTTTGGGGTGTAGAGGGAAGAAAACCCATCTCAGGATGGGATAACAACAAGACAAGACAAACCGGGTTGTATATACTGGCATCCACACTGGCCGCGTTTTCTCTTAGCTTTTATTTACTGTACGCCTTTTCTTGTATGATTACACTACGCGAAGATACCACTATGCAACAAACTTTCCCTATGCGTGCTCTCTTGTCCAGTATACCCATGTAACTGGCATATTGTTCAACTCAACGTGAGGTAAAGTAAACACTCAAAACATAAAGCAAACTCGTCGATTAATACCCTATGTACCCATCCTATTCTATTCTGACTTATGTTGGTAAGCACAGTACTAGCAAGGTCCTTACGGCCAATTATTTAACCCTGATGGCCAGGGTAGAAGCAAGACAAATAAACAAACCGTTAACGAACTAACTGGCCGTTCAAGCTCGCGTACCAGTTTATTATGTGTAAAGTTGAGGATTAGACCTCCATATAAGGACCCGTATAAACGATCTAAACAAGGGAATCTAAAAACACCAACAAACAACCAAACAAGCAAAGTTAACAAACAGACAAACGACTCGTCTGTTGAGATAGCAGACAGGGATTCCCCGGGCTACAAAGCTAGACATACATGACGAGAAGTAAACAGGAATAAATACCAAACTAGGTAGTTTGTTGCTTTTATCTTCCCAGTGAGATTAGTGATATATAGATACTATATATCATAGATTACGTTAGGTATAGTCTGTGGAGTTTCTATGATATATACTCAGTAGCTAGTCAAGGATACTGGTCAGATAAGTGAGTTTTTATCTACTTATTTCACAATGCGAGCCTTTGATGTTACGTTCATTCACTACATTAGGTCCGGACCTCCGGTGGACATTCTATT